TGGTACCGGCGAATGAACTTGGAACCTTGCGCTTGTGAGGTAGGTGGTGGAACCACTGAGTCTTTCTTTTTAAAACAATTTACTATGGACATTAGTACTGAGGTTCCAGTGTATTCTTGGTTTAAAGGAGCTGGGTTTTGTTTGCTTTTTCAAATAAGATAGACTTAATAGGAAAAATTACCTTATATCCTTTTACTATAAAAGTTCTGAATTTTAAAACTTCAGCAAATATTTTTCATTTATTTCTATAAAAAGAATATTTAAAGGGGTACAAAGATCACAAGGTATGACTTCTACAGGGACAGGAACATGGAATGGGTCACATTTGATTTTAACAGAGGATCCCTTGGAAAAGATGACAGGGGGCCAAATCCATGACAGGCATCAGTTCATCCTCTTAAGGAGAGGAGATCAAGACCTGTCTGACAAAGGGGCTGAGACAGTAAGAAAATGAAAGTCTAGGCAAGGGCCAAGGTCCAGGCCTGTGGGGTTTCTTGAGCATGGGACTTTCAGTGTGGGGGCAACCAAGGAGAATCACAAGCCAATTGGGATGATTGTTCTCCCTAGGGTAAATTTATCTAGGTTGGCCACCTTGTTTATTCACTGTCACCTGTCTTTTCACATATTCAGGAAATTATGATAAAGCACACTATTTGAATGATAAAATTAGTAATAAAGCTTCTACCATAGTGTAGACCTAGTATGTTCCAAATACCAAGTGGTTTACACACATTAATTAATCCTTACAACCCTGGAACGAAGATCCCTTACAGAAGAGGACAAATGTGCTTGAGGTCTCACAGGCAGTACAAGATACAACTGAGGCCCAAACTCAGCTTTGTCTAATTGGTTTTTTTTTGTGGGGGGGTACTGGAGATTGAACTTGGGTCCTTATGAGGCAGGAGGCGGAACCAATAGGTAAATTCCTGGCCCAACTTTGTCTAATTGAAAGCCCTTGTTCTCTAACCGCCTTCCGGTGCTAACTTGCTTCTGGCTGCCTCCAAGCCTCCACCCCACCCCAGGGCTCCCAAATGCTTCATTTGTCAGGCCTAGTCACAGGTTCAGTAATGATCTGGAGTAAAATTTTCACATCTGGAGTTGCTTTGTTGAGGATTCAGTTCTGCAGAGATGGACAGATCCCACCAAGGATGTCTCCTGGGAGCCAGGACATCTTCTTAGATTACCTGCCCTATCCTGGTATTGGATCCTTTGGGTTCTGATCCCAAGATTCCCTTCCATATCACCTTTTTCTTGCTACCCAAAACACACCTTCTTTTCCAGCCAACTGGTCAGTCTTTGCTGACATCCCCTTTGCTTTCCCGTCCATTTCACATCACTCCTGGGCTATTTCCTCTTGTCCTGGGATGCCTGTTCCCATCTTCACTTGCTGGGATTTCACCTTTCTTCTTCTAAGTAGAATGGGACTGTATCCTCCCCAATAAGTCCCTTCCTTTAGCCCGGAGTAGTACTCACATGACAGAACATTGTGCAAAGGACAGGTAATCCACCAGCACATCCAGGCCTTTGTTTTCACCATTCAGAAACTCCCTCACCCACCTGCAGACACAGGAGAACACAGGGGAAGAGGTCTGCTAAGGTGCATGGAGGGTAACCCAATTACATCCTTCCTGAATCCCCCTGGAATCTAGTACCAAGCTGGGAAAATTCTGAAGACCAAAATCTGTGAGCCAGCACACAGGCAGGGTAGACAGGGGCAGGTCCTTCTAACAACATTTGCTTTATCATGAACATGCTTCAGTCAAACAAGCAGCCAGGTACTTTCTCCATACAGGACAGGGCCCTAGCTTGATCATTTTCTGTATCCCTCAGGTATAGCACAAGGCTAGGCACACAGTCCTTGCTCAATATTTACTGGAAGAATTGTGGAGGCATCTAGAACATTTACCACAGACCCACGTACAGAGCTGTGTTTGCTTCACAGAGCCAGCAAATCCCCAGCTTGATCAAAGTGTTCAAGATACAGGCAGGAAGGAACAAAGAGAGCTCTGGGTCAGAGGCTTACTATGCCAAAGGGCTCTTCACAGAGCTCAAGGGCAGCACTTTTGGAAAGCAGTAAGCAAAGAGGGATGTGGGAGTTCTGTGTTTAGTCAGAGTGAGTCTGGAAGAACCGGAAAAGGCCAGCACAATGATCAGGAGCTCAAGAAACTCCAGAATTCCACGCACTCAGAGTCACACTGGGGATATGGATCCGCTCAGCCAGGAAGGCAGGAAGGTGGACAATAGGGCCCTTGAAGGACAATGTCCCAGAATATTTTCGCACCTCTGTCTTTATTCCTTTTGGGCCAAGACACCTCTAGAATGAAAGTGAACAGTTAATTCCAGGGAGACTGTTATACAGCAGGTTCATCCACCGCACAGACACATAAACCCTCGGGATGAAGCCTTTACTTGCTGAAGTGCTCTATTCCCCTGGGATGTCTGGGGGCTCTACATGAGCCAGCTGTACCCAGCCCCCTGCAGTGTTGCTTTTTCCCCACAGCTGGAACACCAGCTTAGCCAACCACACCCCAGAGAGCGCTCCAGAGAGAGGCTGGAGCTAGAGCTCCAGGCCCAGCTGAGATTTGGCAGCAGGCTCTGGCTAAAGCTGACACCGGAGCTGCCTGAAGTTAGCTTCCTCTCTGGGGGCCTACAGCCCTCCCATTTCCTGTCTGTCTGCTCTCCAGCTCCCCACCCCCTTCTCATTTCCTGTCTGAGTCTACACTGCTATTTTCGGGATCTTGACACTTTGAGGAGAGGTTAAAGGGTACTTAGGCAAGGCAGAGAAACCAATACAAACCAGGGAGGGAAAGGAACCGGAGGGGGCTCTGGAATCCCACTTCCCAGCCGGCCCCATTCCAGAGCTTCAGTTCCCATCTGCTGCCCTGCACACGTACTTCTGCAGGCCCTGGGCCAGTCACGCTCTGACCAAAGCACAATCCTCTCTTCACCTAGCCTTTGCCTCCTCCCACCCTGAAGCCCCTACACGCCAGCCTGACAAACTTGCTGCCAGGAAGGGTCTTGGCTCTCCCACACAACTACCCAAAGAAGCCTCAGGTCAGAGGGCAGGAGCTCCTAAAATGCCAGTACTAAGCTATTCCCTGGGAACCAATGCCTATGTCCAGACTTCTAACTTGTGTGCCAACTTTCAAGAGGTTTTAAAGCCTGGGAACCATGGTGCTCAGGCCCTAGTGCCTGGTCAGATGACAGAGGGACAGGTATCAGGTAGAAAGGAGGGCAGAGGGGACTGTCACACACTGCTCTGGTCCCCTCCCAAGAGGAGCAGACCTCCACCCTCACTCTGATCACAGCAGGACTTAAAAAGATCACAGGGCCTGAGAGAGGGAAGGTCCTCTGGAGTAATCCAGGTGGCAGGTGGTACTCAGGGCTCCCCTTGGTATCACTCTCGCCTCCACAACCACGCTAACAGAGAAGTCCTGCTGGTTTTCCTTTTGGTGAAGGATTCATCAAGGTGGAGGCCTGGCTTTCCACAGCTGGTTCATAGATGAGATATGTAACCCATACTCAGGAACTGATCTTTCCTGTTCTTTCTTGCGCTGTTTCCCTTCTGACGGTTGCTACAGCTGGTTACACACAGGTGTCCCCTCCCTCTAAATAAACCCAAGCAGGAGCAGCCTCGGGGTGGGGGGGGCAAGAGGGCTGATGCCATGACAGGAGAGGAAAGGCTGATGATGTCACCTGGTTCTTTCCACCCTACTCTCAGGAAGTTCAAGGACATGGGGCTGGCACTTTCCCAGAAAACATCCAAACTGCCTGCTACTAGGACCTACTTCACATTCACTGAGGTGCTCATATTCATGCCACGCACTGGCCAGCTAGGAAACCCTGCCTGCAGTTCTATACCAGGGTTCCTTCCTTTACTGTCCTTTCTGCATGTGTGTACACATACATTCTCTCTCTTCACAATACTTGCTGATTAGTTTCAACAAACTGAGGTGCTGTCTTCTTACTGTACCTCGATGAACTAGCCCTCTACCTGTTTTTAGCAATTCCTGGTTCCCTACTCAGAGCCTGGAAGGAAAGACTCACACAGATCCTAGGGTGTGTGTGGAGGAGGGCTGTCGAGTTGGAAGCACCAGGATCTGTGACTACACAAGATGTTTACCTCCTGAAAGCTTTCCTGGTGCATCAGGAAGCTTCTTCTGCTCATGAACCAAGATTGCTTTTTCCCAAACAAGTAATAAACTTCTGGATATCACGGAGTCCAAATAGTTGCTCAACAACAACTAGGTCTCAGCCCTACCCAATGTAGCATGTTCCCCCCACCCCCAGCCTTCTACAGGCCTTGCTTGGCTCAGTCCCAGGCCACAGGCAGACTGTAAGCTCAGCTGTTGTGAGAACATCTTCTACTCAAAGCCACAGTCTGAGGACCCCAGGAGAGGCCTCATGCTTGCCAGAAGCATCCAGTTGCAGCTGGAAGAGCTGAGGGAAGAAAAGCCAGAAATGGCACAATCTGGAGTTCTGGGGAACAAGAAGCCATGTAAGAGGCAACTGTGCTCCTCCGCACAAAGGATAAACAGGCAAACCACCCACAGAGGACACCAGATCCTTCGTAGCAGGTAGTGCCTGGGGCTACGTAGAGTAGTCACACCCGACTCACCCAATGTGGTTGGTGCGAAGGGAGATCTCCAGCTCTCTCAGTACTTTGGTTGACTCCTGCACTCTCCTCCTGAACTTCTGTAAACATGGAATCTTCTGTCACCAACGGAGCCCCCCACTATCCTGTCCAACTTACAGCACAAAATAAAGGAGCAGAAAAAGAAAGGGAGAGGGTACAAGAATGGAGTTACAGGCTTTCCCTCCAGTACTAGGCACCCATTCCAAGCTCCTGGCCTCAGAGTCTGAAAATCCAACTCTCAATGCTTAAAAGCAGATGCCCCAGCCCTAAGCCAAACAATACTACAAAGGGCAGTGAGACACTGCCCCACTGCTTCATACTTTACCTTCCGAGTTACACTAGGGTCCAAGAAGCTCTGGAGTTTCTGGATATAAGTGTGGGGAGGATTCTTCACCTGGAATCGTTCCTATAGGGAAAATACGCATATGTGTAACACACAATCTGAGAAGGACACCAAGGAAGGACAGTACGTGAAGTGCTCAACAAGGGGACTCAGCCTTCCAGCTGTCACCTAATCCTGAGCACTGCCCCAACCCTAGATTCCTTCCTTGACTTATCCCCCAGGTGTTCCCACATGTTGCCATCTTTTCCTCCTCCAATTCGTGTTTCCTCAGCCTAAAATGCTTTTCTATGCTAAAAATTACTTTAAGAGCCTCCTGCTTGTTAAGATGTGGGGATTACAGAGCTACGAATAATATCCAAAATAAATGACTAGCAAATGCTTTATCTGCCCAGTCAACTGATGGATGAAGTCAGGAAAACCAAGAGGAGGGAAGCTTGATCTTGCAGAATTCAGCTTTCATAGCTCCAAACCCTGGAACTGGGCTGGTTCTGCAGCATTAACACAGCTAAGGCTACCAAAGCACTTTCTGCTCCTTACCCAGGCCCCAGACTCCACCAATCCAAAGCAGCCTCAAATGATGAAGGCTGCTCTCAACAAAGTCACCGCTTAACCCTTCTACACAGACCACAATCTAGGCCCTCTCTACTTCGGCCCAACCCCCATCTAACCCAAGAAGAAACTTGGGATAACAAACCCTGGGTATTCTGGTTCTAAAAGAGTCCACAACTGACATAGCCAAAAAGCTGGAAAGAATTCAGGAAAATGATATGTTAGGAAATAGTACCTGAAAACAAATAAGAGAAAACGAGAGGTTTGAGAAAGCTGAAATTGTACGACATAGAAAGGAATGAGAGATCATCAGCTAGAAGATCCCAGTACCAAAGGGCTGCTGCTCTCCAAACCCCAAGCAGGCACTAATCAATACATTTTAGTGCAGAATCCAAGGAAATAGGCCTTCATTAGAGAAGGAACTTGGATCAGGACCTCTGAATTATAACCTTCACTTAGGTCAAGCAGCATGACCAGGAAGGCAGCGGGAGAGAACAGCAGTCTTGGCACCTGCTTTTCTGAGGCCAGTTTGGCTCCACTGATCACCAGCACTAGGCAGATCACTGACCCCTGGGTTCTTTTTGGGGGGGGCTTTTTTTTGGTTTTTTGAGACAGGGTCTCACTATGTAGTTGAGACTGACCTGGAACTCACTATGTAGCCCAGGCTGCTCTCAAACTCACAGCGATACTACTGCCTCAGCCTCCCAAGTGCTGGGATTACAGGTGTGCACCACCATGCCTGGCCCCCTGTGTTCTTCTAATAAAGTGCCATGCCATGGTACCTTGCTTAGAGGGTTTTTATGAGAATTAAATGATATTTCAGTATGTGTAGAGTACTTGATATAAAATCAGCACTCAATAAACATTATTATGATTTTCTTCAGCTTAAAAAAGAATTAAATTTGTTCATGGCAAAGCACAGGGTAACAAACTGCCCACACTCTGTGCCAGCCCCCTCCATACCTACCAAGAAATACAGAAGTAGCAGCCAACTCAGCCTTACAGACAGGCATGCCTGAGTTCAAAGACTCAGGACCATGTGTATAGGAGGAAGAGCCAGGTGGTAGGTGTTAGAAACCTTAGTTCTGAACAAAATAATGGTAATTCTTCTATTTGAGTTATAAACACTTCATGTAGCGAGACCAGCAGTCCTTGACTAGTCTCACATTTGGAAATGGAGGATTAGGGGACTCCAGGGTCTCATTCCTAGAGGCCTGTAGATAATAAGATGCATCTTGCTATTTGCCAGGTCTGGAGCAAAGTGACAGAGAAGGGTTCCTTGGGAGACCCTGCCAGGCATAACCCTGACCCTGATGAATCACAGGAACAGGCTCTGCTGGGGAAACCAGCAACCTGCTCCACAGCCCACCCGGCACAAACCACCCAATGGAGCAAGTGAAGACAGCCTTTTGCAGGAGCTCAGCCTACCAGCTCTGTCTCTGCTATGAGGAATCACTTTGGAACAGAAAGCACAGAATGAGGCAAGCCAGGCCAGGGTTCCTGCAGAGACTCAGTTGGTGCCTCTGGTACTTCCTTGTCCAGCCCAATAACCAGCCCTCTCACAACATCCCTGCTCTTTCAACCCAGTACCTGGTCACAAATCAGATCCCACTTCTTCTCGTTGTCATACTGCCTCAGGAGCCGGGCCTTGTCGGGAGGCAGGTTCATGGAGCTCTGAGGAGAGAAGCTGAGTTAACAGGCTGAGACATACACCACAGGTGAGGACGGAAAGGCTGCCCTGTCCCCACTGCCCCTGCTGAGCCGTCACACTTCACCTTGACTCTGTTGCAGGCCCAAAGAGGTGGGACAGTCCTTCTTGCCTCCTTGTTATACATATTAGTCATGTTTGGTTGAGCAGTGTTTTCCATACCATACCAGTCATGGAATCAATTTGGTCAGTCAAAATTAACTTCATTTCAATGAAAACGAGCAAATTTAAACAGAAGATACCAGATTCGTTGCAAGTAGAAAGCATAAACATTTAATGAAACTTTTCTTTTATATATTATGTATATATGTATATATATGTCATGTGCACATAGATCATGCTGTAAAATATACTTAACATTTGAGAGGTGAAAACTTTGAAAGCCCAAGTTTGTTTATTTATTATTCTTTGTTTTGATGTTTTGAGACAGAATCTCGCAATATAGTTCAGGCTGGTCTTGAACTCACTATGTAGCCCAGGCTGGCCTCCAACTCAAAGTACTCCTCCTGCCTCAGCCTTCCAAGTGCTGGGATTACAGGCGTGTGCCAACACGCCAGTCCTGAAAGCCCCCAGTTTAAAGCAGCAACTTTCAATCCGTTTTTCTGCCATGAACTGAAAGAGGGGTGACTTTCCTGCTCTGAGTCCTGAGTCACCCTCAGCCTACACAGCAGCTGCCAATCTACCTTTTACCTAAATCAGGATGCAGCAATTGTGTAAAGAGAACTGCTCAACTAGTTTTAGGAAAATATTTTTTTGTTTTGTTTTGTTTGAGACAGGGTCTCACTATGTAGTAAGACTGACCTGGAACTCACTATGTAGTCCAGGCTGGTATCGAACTCATAGCGATCCTCCTGCCTCAGCCTCCCGAGTGCCGGGATTACAGGTGTGCGCCACCAGGCCTGGCTTAGGAAAATATTTACAAAAGTTTAAGCCCGGGATTTAGCTCAGCGGTTCGGTGGCCTGCCTTGCAAGCGCAAGAACCCGAGTTCAATCCCCACCCCGGACCCCCCTCAAAAAAAAAAAAAAAAAAGAAAAAGTTCGGGACTTTAAATATTAGTAGAGCCAGGCATGGTAGCACATGCCAGTAACCCTAGCACTTAGGCAAGAGTGCCTCCTCCTGAGGCAGGAGTACTGCCCCAAGTTTGAGGCCAACCTGGACTACATAGTGAGTTCAAGGTCAGCCTGAGCTACATAGAAAGACCCTGGCTCAAAAAAAAAAAAAAAAGTATTAGTAGAAGAGTATTTATGACAACCCTCCCAATTAAGATAAAGCATTCACACACTGTAACATAAGATACTAAATGATAGTCTGGGAATCATTTTATTTTGCTCAGTACTGCTTGTTGAGTGAATAGACAAAGGAGCCAGGAATTTAGCTCAGTGGTTCTGCCACCTGCCTTGAAAGTGCAAGGTCCAGTTTTGATCCCAGTACCAAAGCAAACAAACAAACAAGACAAAGTAAAGTGTGAGTGACAGAGGCCTAAGGTGTCTGTGCATAGCCTGCTCTGCTGGGAGCCCACCCTCTCCTCCTGCCTGCCCTGCAGCCATGCCTGTCCCCTCCCTCTGCAGTCCCTTGAGCTTTGCTCCACCATCCTAGCCTTTGCCTTTAAAGGCAGTCTGACACTTTGATCGGATCACACGACCATGTGGTTTATCTCTGCCCACACCCCCATCTCAGGGGACACGAACTGAGTATCCAAGGTCTCCAAAGAATCAATCACAAAGGCTCCGCTTTATTCCAGAGAGGAAGAAGAATGGGGGGGAGCATATATTTTTAAGGAATCAAAAGGAAATTCTTACAAATTATTTCTGTCACACTGCGTAACTCATACACACTATTAAACCAGCTGCATGTTGATTTTACCTTTAAGGAACCATGTCTATGCTTATAGCCTTCTCTAACGAGTTTATAAATAGAAGAATTTAAAACTAGAGACGTGGGTTTAGGTAAGAAGAGGAAAGAAAGGAGTCACCACACCAAACCCCTCCCCGTGGCTTCCAGTGACCCACAAATCTACCTCAACTTCTACAAGAAAGAAGGGCTAATCAAGTCCTTCCCACAGTTAATGCAGTACTGATGGCAGGATGGGCTAATACAAGCCTGGAATGTTCTCTCTGGAACTGAATTGCTAAGAGCTAATTTCAACATGTCTGTGTGGACAGCAAGATGGGAGCAGGGGACCTTAACCAACACAGACCCAAGGTCAGAGGCAGGCCCAGGGCAGGTCTCCAGCCTAACCAGCTAAACTCAAGACAGAACCGAGCAGAAACAGTCACTGGGATTGGTCGTGGCTCTGCACATCCTGAGCATGTTGCTGTCATTTGATCATTTCTCCCAAGTCTGTGCCACAAAAATAGTTTGCTACAGCCTCCCCTGGACGAACGCTGCTGGGAGGAGAAGAATGCAGCCTGTCACTACACTACCGTGACAGATTTCACATTGTGTCTATACTGCCTTCCTCCTTGTGCCAACCACAGTCAGGGGCTGTGGCCTCACACTTTCCCACTAGGTGAACACGTGAGGAAACGCTTGCTTCCCTCAGGGCTTCAAACTGAGCAAAGTCACCTCCTTTGGGAAGGCTAGCCTAAGAGCATGAAACACTCCAGGGACCTGGTCAAACTTTACATCTGTGGAAAAGATGAACCACTGGGGACACTGGCCTGGGGCAGATCCATGGTTGCTGAGTGAGGGAACCCTAACAGCAACACAGGGTAGGAACACAGTATTATAGCTTCTCCTACAAATTAGACTCCCAGAACTTGTGCATGTGAAGAAAACATGAAGGCCCACATCCTCCACTTTCTGGACAGTGGTCCCAGCTTTCTCTGCTTCTGGAGGGCTGAAGTATGAGAGGGAGGGAATGGGAAAGGGAAATTCCCACCTCCAACCTCTTACAAGAAGCAGGTCACTGGACTGGGGATTTAGCTCAGTGGTTCTGCCGCCTGACTTTCAAGTGCAAGGAAAGAAGAAAGAAGAAGAAGGTAATCGACTATGGTGGGAGCTGCCAGCCAAGATGGCAGGCCCAGGGCAGTTTACTCTCTGCCAGACAAGGGCATCAAGGCTCCTGACCATCCTGATAATGTGTGAGTCCGGCAGGGCTCCAGGGTCCTGAGGAAGCTGTTCTGCCCTTAGGAAGACAATCAGGGAACAACCAGGGAGCAAACCTGACGTGGTTCTGGACTCAATCAAAGGTTTATTTCCCGGACACTGTTCTTCAACAGTTCCACAGAGACTGTGTGCTCTCAGAATCACAAGCTGAGCCAAACTTCTGCTCAGTGAGACCCTTGCTCACCAGCTGTCTTGGAGAGTACAGGGCACAGAATGTAAAACAAGAAGGCTCAAGATCAACTTTGGGCTCTTCAGAACTATCAAACCTTCGTAAACTTTTCCATAAACTGGGGATAATCTCACTACTTCACAAGGCTGTAAAAGGATCAAATGATAAACATTTTATGTCTATGTGTCTGAAACATTCTAGTGTTGACAGTTTCCTTCTCCCTTTTCCTGAAAAGCCTATGAAATATCTGACATCCCAGCAACCTGCCTTCTTCCTTCTGGGTTCTCCATCCCTGCTCCCACCCCTCCTCCTCAACATGAACTACAGAGCGATCATTTACCCCTTCTTTGATCTCTCTCAGGGATCTAGGATCCCTCCCCTCCAAGACTAGAAGGCAATTTTAACACCACTGAACTTGGGATTCGAGGAGAGGGTGACCTTAGGTAGGGTGTAAGGGAGAAAAGTCACAATATAAGATGGGAGAAGAGGAAGAGGAACTCAAACTGAAAGCAACTATGGTTGATTCCTAAGTCAGAGGGAAACAGCAAGAAGTCTAATGAGAAAAATCCCCAACAGGAAGAAGCCAAAGGCATGGATCTGATGTTCCTCCAGAAAGACTACTTAGGCTTACTGCCAGTCCACAACCAGGCAGACTGCCTACTGTGTGGCCTCTGGGTCAGCAAGGTGCCCTTACTCTCCATCTCCGGCCCTACTGGCCCAGTGAAGACACGGAGGGGGAGGGCTTCCCTTTCCCTTCCTGCCCTGTACCCCCAGCCCTGCAGCCCCTCCTCGTTTCCTCCCCACTGCAGGGGAAGGGAAATGCCAGTGGAGTTTGGAGTTTCCTTCAAAGCTGTGGGCCCTGCTCTGGGACTCACCCCTACTCTGCTTGTCTTCTTGGGCCAGGTCTGGGGAAAACCCAATAAACAGAAATAGGAGCCACCAAAAAGTCCCTGTTCAACTGTTTCTGTTGGTCCAGTGGATCAGAATAAAACTTAGGAAGACAGATAAAAAAGGCACAGCCCCTCTGCGAGACAGGCAGAGAGATGTCTGAAATATTCCTGGGAAAGGGATGTTGGAAACTTTAGGGAAGTCCAGCAAGGGCTGTTATTTTGGGCAAGTACAGAAAATGAGTTGGTGATTTTATTGACATTTTCTTTCTCAGAACTACCTCCCATCAAGTTTCCACGGCTGGAACTGTCTCCCAAGTGTCCCTGTGCTGAGCCCATGGGGATGGAGCTCTAGGAAGTTGAATCTATAGACTATCCCATGGGAAAATAAGGCACTATCAGGGGCACCACATGCTCCTCAACATGCTGCTGAGCCCCCAGCCACAGCTGCCACCAAGTCCTCCCTGGCAGCCGCAGATCAGTCTATTGGATAGAAAAGCAGGGGTGAGGAGCACAAACTCTGGGAGTCTAAGTGTCTGCTGTAGGAGGAGCTGTAACACTGTGTCCTACTAGGACTCCTCTGCAACCAACAAATCTGCCCCAAGCCAGTGACAAACTGGGCAACACAAGGCACAAAGGCCATCACAGGCCGACAGGACAGTCTTGGAACAGCCCTGCCTGCCTTCCACATGTCTCTGGGGGTAGGCAGTGAGCACTACTCCCAAAGGGCGAGAGTTTCAGAAGGTAGGAGGCACCCACTCCTGCTGCCTTGGCCTCTTGGCAGCCACAGTCTGCCCTGCC